TCCAGGGTACCTAAAAGATTAAGTCGACCGAACTGCCCGTATCAACGAGAATTCTCGAAACTTCGAAGTTGGCAACGTCTAAGGTAATGACTAGGGCGTCATCATGAGGCCTTTCGAGGGTGACATGTTTCTTCTTCGTCAAATGATATTGACGTGCCTTGAAAGTCCATTTCTTCACCTAAATTTGCTTTAAATAAAACATTTCGCCTATGCTTCTTTATGGCATTGATCGTATCCCGACAAAGCTTGGAACCTCCAATGATTACATTGATTTTTCCCTTCGAACTTCTAGGTTCTTCGTCGTTGGATTGCCTAGGTCTTTTTAAACTCTGATCTTTAGGGGTATCCTTTGCCTCGTGATATTCTTTCACGAAATCTTCTAACTTGAATTTAGAAAGATCTCCACTGGCCCACAACTCTGCGAGGTGCTTTTTGAGGACACTACAGTCTTTGGTTAAGTGTCCGGTTACCTTATGGATGTCACAATACAAACTTTCGTCACGGACCCAAGTGTTCGACCTTCCTTTTCCTTGAAATTGTTTCCCGACGGTATTGTTGAGGGGTTGCGATCCGAACTTTTTAGGTCCTTGGTTCTCTCTGGGCTCAAACTTTTTGGTAGGGAAAGTGACCGCTGGTTTTGCTTGTTTGTTCCTTTTCGCAAAACTCTCTTTTTCGTCTTCTACTTCCATCCAGTTATTTGCACGGAAAAGTGCGTCTTGAATTGTGTCCGGTTTGTGAAGTATTAGATCTTCTTTGAACCTCGAGTCATGCCATAAACCTTTTCGTAGGGCAGATAGAGCTGACTACTGCGAGATTCTTGGGAGATTTGATAGCACCCCCTTGAATTTGGTGATGAAAGTTCTAAGTGACTCATTTGGCCCTTGTGTTAGATTCCAAAGGTCAGCATCCGAAACGCTTTTATCCATGAGGATAGAATATTGTTTCAGGAAAACAGCCGACAACTCGTCGAAGTTATTGATTGAGCCTGGTTCCAGCTGAGTGAACCACATTAGTGCTTGACCGCAAAGGTTTTCCGAAAAAAGTTTGCAGTATCCTGCATCCTCATCAGCTTCATCCAATTCGACTCTTTCAGCGGCAATCAGAAAAGCTGCGAGATAGCTTTTTGGGTCTTCTAATCCACTGTACGGATCCAGTTTGAGTTTCCGAGAATCCTTGATTCTCAAATTTGCAATTCGCGGAATGAAAGGAGTTCGCCTAGCTTCTTCGATGACTCGGTTGATGTCCGGCTCCGAACTGGTAGCCTGGTGGAACTTTGACTTCATTTCTTTTAGTTCCTGGCTAACCTTCCTCATGGTTTCGAGCTGATCGAAGCTCTCTTGATCATACTGATCTACAAGCTGATCTTCATCTCCGAGCTGCGTCTCTTCTTCCACATCCGGTTGGATTGTTGGGTTAGAAGTTGTTTGTTCGTTGGTCTCACTTCGCACACGGGAGTTTGGCGTACTGAACATGCTTCTTCGGACTCCCACGGTACTTCCTGCACCTAGAGAACGAACACGAGATTGAATAGTATTGATGTTTTGACCAAGAGATACCTGGGTTGTTTTAAGTGTGTCCACAGCTTTTTCCACATCCGAGAACTTCTGCGACATTTCTGTTATGGCTTGCTGCATGGTCTTGAGAGCCTCGGCTACTGTCGAATCAGGGATGCTTGCTCCAGACATTGCTGCTTATCTCGGAAATGAGAGAAATCTGACAACTCAAGAATCTTCTAGTTCCCCACAGACGGCGCCAAAATGTGGATGTCGGATTCACACACTTGAATATTTGTTTATCTTGTGGGAATGAATACTCTTGAGGACAAAAATACGATACAAAAAGCTATGAATTGAAATGGAAAATGATTACAGTGTATTTGCTAGAAAAATTGCGTATATTACATGGCTATTAGCCCTCTTATTTATATTGGCAAACGACATTTAACTCTCAATTAAACACAATTATTCTCTCTTAAATGTGTCCGTTTTGGTCTTCGAGTTTTAATGCCCAACGTTTGAATTTGAATTGATTCCGACCTTCATGGGCTTTGCCTTTTAGCCCAAGTTATCCGACTTCGACTCCGAGTCATATCCCGAGGTGTGACCACTCCGGGCTCTCTTTATGGTGACGCCCACTTCGATTATACCCTGTAAACCATGGGCCTAATGGGCCTTATCCTCTGTGGGCCTTTATCCTGATTACATGGCAATCTTTGGTTGGTCCCGGTCTGCTGGTGCGGGATCCGACACCAACAATGTAAGTTTAGATTACTCCCAAATTAATTTTTTCCAATGCTTTGTGCTGATGAGAATCATATCATTTTGTTTTCAAGTCTTTGAACGATAACCTTCTCTCAGTAGAGCTACCTGACGTGTTTCAAAACATTCTCGGGCTGATTAATCTGTATGCTTCTTCTTCTTTATAGTTTGGTGAACAATTATTGTTTCTATGGATTGTTTTTGGTAATCTGATATTTTTGTGTAGTGATATATCATCTAACAATCTAAGCGGCACATTTGCTCCTTCAATGGAGAATTTATCAACTCTTACAACATTGTAAGTTTTGATCATTACAAAAAAAAGTTGAATCTCTTTTGGCTTCTTTCTTCACTAAGCTGATAGTCTGAGTTTTGCAGAAGTGTTCAGAACAACCAGCTCTTAGGAAATCTGGACGTTCTTAAAGGGCTAATGTAATGCCCCTCACCTAGACTATGACTAGGCCGGGTGGAGGCTAACACCAAAAGATGAATCGGAGCCAAAAGACCATAAGGGAATCGAATGGAGCTAAGTAAAGACTTGTCCTAGAAAAGTTAGAGAAAGCATCGAGGAAGCTTGAAGGAAGAGATAGCAAGATCGTTAGGATTATAAGGAGAAGCTCTTGTCAGAAACTCAGAAAGGCCATCACCGAAAGGTAAGGTGGTTGGACTTATCATACTTGGACAAAGTAAAGGATGGGTATTGAGAATAAATGGTTTTTGGGCGAGGGATATAAAAGTTGGGCGAGAGAAAATGAGTTTGGGACGAAGGAATGCATAATTGGCCAAAACAGACGACCCGCGGACGATGCTTAATCGATCTGCGGCGAGCGACGGACCATCCGGTACGATGCATGTACGGCCTGCGGACGTGTGCTCGGACCGTGAAGGACGTGTGCATGGACCGTGAGGACGTGTGCTCGGACCGTGGAGGCGTGTGCTCGGACCGTGCGGACGTGTGCTCTACTCCGTGTCCGTTCAAGGCAACGCCACGCCTGCTGCCTGCTTCACCAGAAGCTGCTGGGTGTCGCCACCGGAAGCGGTGACTCAGCGACACAAGTCGCCAGCAGAGGCATGATCAGTGGCGAGGTGGTTGTGCAGCAGCTTAGAAACCGACTTAGTAACCCTATCTAAACCTTCGTCGTTCATTTGAAATTCTCAACGAAAAATAACAAACGACCTTAGTAGTGTTGAGAAAAAGTTCTGATTCCGAAAGTTGGTAAGTTTTCCGATTTTAGTTTAGTTTTAAGTAATCGTCGATTAGTTTCTAATTAAGTAGGTTACAATGTGTTAGATAACTGCTTAAGATGAGTGAGATACCTATGGAACCAAGGAGTAGTAGAATGAGTCGTTTCCCGAGAATGCGTGGATCTCCGGTAAGTTCCGGACATGTGTCGTAGCACATGATTAGGTGTTTATTCATTCAAATTAATTATGAAATTACTAATAGAGGTTAATATAATCATACTTAGTGATATTTGTGATTGTTTGACTTGTTGAGTTATAATGTTAATGCATGATGTTCATTTTTAGTATAAACGTTATGCTGCCCGTTTTTCGACAACGTAACTTTTTTGATGCCCGTTTTTCGGTAACATAACCGTTATGCTGTCCAATTGTTTGTCTGTGTTGTTGTTAGTTGGAATTGAATAGCTAACTAGCATTAGCCGAGTCAAGTTATCCCATCCGTCTGTTGTGCGTTGCATGCAACTCCGTAACGTTATGGCTTACGAAGGCTCGGGGCTGGCTTGCAACCGACCGGGCGCTACATGACGATGTAGTATAAGGGATGCGGATCTCTTTTAGACTTACGTGTCTAGGAGTGTAAGGCATTGTCTCTGGGAAGACATGAATTCGTAGAGGCCTAAACTAAAATGGAGTAAAAGCTTGTTCATAGAATCGTCAAGTACTTGCATTGCTTATTTCGAGTCTTATTGCTTGTTGTTTGTTCCGTTGCTTGGTTATTTGAGTTTGAGATTCGGGTAATGGTAAGAGTGACTCCATAGAAACTCCGGAGTAACTGAGTAATCTTAGATTACTCATGATGCTACCATTTTATTTTCTTGCAGGAAACCTTAGCGGGAAAACCATTAGAGGGTGCAATGATCATTAGGCCAACCAGCTTAGATTTTTACAGCTCTTTGTAAATATGGATATTGTTTATTAGTTATGATTTCTAAAAAGGATCCGACCTGTTATACGAGCTTTGGTAATATTTTACTCGTATATTATACTATGTAAAGACTCGAAATTTATAAAGGAAATGATTAAACCAATGATATTATTAGTCTAGTCCAAAATTTACACAACTCGCGTTCGCGGAACGGGTTGTAAAGCCTTAGGCCACGAACGTGAGGAAAAGATTCTTGTGGTTGGTCGACTTAGGTTAGCGGTTTTTTATCCGTGAGCTTCGGCTGACTAGCTGCGGGGGTCTAACGTGACGCTTCCGATTCGTTCTTATTTCTAGGACGGTTCGGGGGTGTTCCAAGCGTGGTATCAGATTAGGGTTAATTTATGCTCATGGGAAATCATGTTTTATCGTTTTATCGAGTAAATGTGTCACAAAAGCTTTTAGGAACTCGTATGATCATTTTCTTATTATTAAGTAGTTGGGATTTAAGACTTACCTTTAATTTCGTGTTGCAGATTGTGATACGGGGACGCGGTCGAGGCCGTGGTCGTGGATCCAGAGGTGGGAGGATCTCTAGTCCACCATTGGACAGGTTCGAGTACCGGCCTATTATGGAGGCAAGTTTCTCGGAGTTATCGCAGTGGAATGCTGAGGCAGGACCTAGTGTTCCGGCGCTTGATCGTGAGGTTTCTCCGATTGCACCGTGGAGGGTGATAGATCAGAGCACTCTCGAGAGCAAGACCGGACCGCGCGAGGATAGTGGTATGATATCTTCATTTACGAACAATTCTGATCATGAAATAGAGATCGTGGAGGCACCTATTCCAACCATTGACATGGATGAGTACGAAATGGTTGAATCCAAGCGTGAGACGGATGAGACTATGTGGGAGGATTATCTTATTCTTCCGGATAGTCCCGATTTGACCCTTCCCGGATTTGGAACCATTATTTCTCCGGTAGTGGTGCCAGATGATGATGAGGATCAGATTGTTCCAAGTGAGCCGGTGGTATCGCCCGTGGTGCCATCGTTCAATTATCCTTCCCTCCTGGACTATCTACTTGCAGCGTTTTTGCGGGAGAATGATACTATCAGACGGGGAGACACCCCGAAGACTGATACAGAGGCGCCAATGATTCCGAGACCTGCACAGTGGGAGCCGTATTGCTACACGTGTGGTGAGATGGGTCACTACCCGAGGTGGTGTCCTTTCTACCGCCCATACGGGGATCCGGTGATCTGATGCTCACTATGTAACGAGATTGGGCACTACGCTAGTTCGTGTCCAATAGTCATGGTGGGGCCTTCGGAGGCAGCGTCTCGGCAATTTGCTCCTGCAACTACTCATGCATCCACATCAACCGTGATAGAGGACTACTGGTCTAGGCCAGGATGTCCGTGTAGGAAGTGTAGGTATAGATACGATTCACCTGTAGTGGGTCTAAGGCGAAGGTATGTAGGGTGTTAACCCTTTGTTTTTGTAAAATAGTGGCTTTAGAAGCCTAGCTAGATGAATAAAGCCCTTCGCCTAGCTGTATAACTCTTAGGACAGTTTGTACTTGTATGACTATTAGATGTACGAATAGGCAACGCCAAAACGGATAGTTGTACAACGCCAAAACGGATAGTTGTACATCGCCAAAACGGATAGTTGTACATCTAATAGTCATACAAGTACAAACTGTCCTAAGAGGCGAAGGGCTTTTATTCATCTAGCTAGGCTTCTAAGGCCACTATTTTACAAAAACAAAGGGTTAACACCCTACATACCTTCGCCTTAGACCCACTACAGGTTAATCATATCTATACCTACACTTTCTACACGGACATCCTGGCCTAGACCAGTAGTCCTCTACCACGGTTGATGTGGATGGATGAGTAGTTGCAGGAGCAAATTGCCGAGACGCTGCCTCCGAAGGCCCCACCATGACTATTGGACACGAACTAGCGTAGTGCCCAATCTCGTTACATAGTGAGCATCAGATCACCGGATCCCCGTATGGGTGGTAGAAACGACACCACCTCGGGTAGTGACCCATCTCACCACACGTGTAGCAATATGGCTCCCACTGTGTAGGTGTCGGAATCACTTGTGCCTCTGTATCAGTCCTCGGGGTGTCTCCCCGTCTGATAGTATCATTCTCCCGTAAAAACGCTGCAAGTGGATAGTCCGGGAGGGAAGGATAATTGAACGATGGCACCACGGGCGATACCACCGGCTCACTTGGAACAATCTGATCCTCACCATCATCTGGCACCACTACCGGAGAAATAATGGTTCCAAATCCGGGAAGGGTCGAATCAGGACTATCCGGAAGGATAAGATAATCCTCCCACATAGTCTCATCCGTCTCACGCTCAGATTCAACCATTTCGTACTCATCCAGGTCAATGGTTGGAATAGGTGCCTCCACGATCTCTATTTCATGATCAGAATTGTTCGTAAATGAAGATATCATACCACCATTCTCGCGCGGTCCGGTCTTGCTCTCGAGAGTGCTCTGATCTATCACCCTCCACGGTGCAATCAAAGAAACCTCACGATCAAGCGCCGGAACACTAGGTCCTGCCTCAGCATTCCACTGCGATAACTCCGAGAAACTTGCATCCATAATAGGCCAGTACTCGAACCTGTCCAATGGTGGACTAGAGATCCTCCCACCTCTGGATCCAAGACCACGACCTCGACCGCGTCCGCGTATCACAATCTGCAACACGAAATAAAAGGTAAGTCTTAAATCCCAACTACTTAATAATAAGCAAATGATCATACCAGTTCCTAAAAGCTTTTGTGACACATTTACTCGATAAAACGATAAAACATGATTTCCCATGAGCATAAATTAACCATAATCTGATACCACGCTTGGAACACCCCCGAACCGTCCTAGAAATAAGAACGAATCGGAAGCGTCACGTTAGACCCCCGCAGCTAGTCAGCCGAAGCTCACGGATAAAAAACCGCTAACCTAAGTCGACCAACCGCAAGAATCTTTTCCTCACGTTCGTGGCCTAAGGCTTTACAACCCGTTCCGCGAATGCGAGTTGTGTTAGTCTTGGACTAGACTAATAATATCATTGGTTTAATCATTTCCTTTATAAATTTCGAGTCTTTACATAGTATAATATACGAGTAAAACATTACCAAAACTCGTATAACAGGTCGGATCCTTTTTAGAAATTATAACTAATAAACAATATCTTTATTTACAAAGAGCTGTAAAAATCTAAGCTGGTTGGCCTAATGATCATTGCACCCTCTAATGGTTTTCCCGCTAAGGTTTCCTGCAAGAAAATAAAAGGGTAGCATCATGAGTAATCTAAGATTACCCAGTTAGTCCGGGGTTTCTATGGAGTCACTCTTACCATTACCCGAATCCCAAACTCAAATAACCAAGCAACGGAACAAACAACAAGCAATAAGACTCGAAATAAGCAATGCAAGTATTTGACGATTCTATGAACAGGCTTCTACTCCATTTTAGTTTAGGCCTCTACGAATTCATGTCTTCCCAAAGACAATGCCTTACACTCCTAGACACGTAAGTCTAAAAGAGATCCGCATCCCTTATACTACATCGTCATGTAGCGCCCGGTTTGTTGCAAGCCAGCCCTGAGCCTTCGTAAGCCATAACGTTAAGGAGTTGCACGCAACGCACAGCAGACGGGTGGGATAACTTGACTCGGCTAATGCTAGTTAGCTATTCAATTCCAACTAACAACAACAACACAGACAAACAATTGGACAGCATAACGTTTATGTTACCGAAAAACGGGCAGCATAACGGTTACGTTGTCGGAAAACGGGCAGCATAACGTTTATACTAAAAATGAACATCATGCATTAACATTATAACTCAACAAGTCAAACAATCGCAAATATCACTAAGTATGATTACATTAACCTCTATTAGTAATTTCATAATTAATTTGAACGAATAAACACCTAAACATGTGCTACGACACATGTTCGGAACTTACCGGAGATCCACGCATTCTCGGGAAAAGACTCATTCTACTACTCCTTGGTTCCATAGGTATCTCACTCATCTTAAGCAGTTATCTAACACATTGTAACCTACTTAATTAGAAACTAATCGACAATTACTTAAAACTAAACTAAAATCGGAAAACTTACCAACTTTCGGAATCAGAACTTTTCTCGAAATTTTTCTCGGAACTTCTTCTCAACACTACTAAGGTCGTTTGTTATTTTTGGTTGAGAATTTCAAATGAACGACGAGGGTTTATATAGGGTTACTAAGTCGGTTTCTAAGCTGCTGCGCAACCACCTCGCCACTGATCATGCCTCCGCTGGCGACATGTGTCGCTGAGTCACCGCTTCCGGTGGCGACACCCAGCAGCTTCTGGTGAAGCAGGCAGGCAGGCAGGCAGCAGGCGTGGCGTTGCCTTAAACGTCCACGGAGCAGAGCACACGTCCGCACAGTCCGAGCACACGTCCGCACGGTCCGAGCACACTTCCTTCACGGTTCGAGCACACGTCCTCACGGTCCATGCACACGCCCTCACGGTCCAAGCACACGTCCGTACAGGCCGAGTACACGTCCGCAGGCCGTACATGCATCGTACCGGATGGTCTGTCGCTCGCCGCAGATCGATTAAGCATCGTCCGCAGGTCGTCCGTTTTGGCCAATTATGCATTCCTTCGTCCCAAACTCATTTTCTCTCGCCCAATTTTTATATCCCTCGCCCAAAAACCATTTATTCTCAATACCCATCATTTACTTTGCCCAAGTATGATAAGTCCAACCACCTTACCTTTCGGTGATGGCCTTTCTGAGTTTCCGACAAGAGTTTCTCCTTATAATCCTAACGATCTTGCTATCTCTTCCTTCAAGCTTCCTCGATGCTTTCTCTAACTTTTCTAGGACAAGTCTTTACTTAGCTCCATTCGATTCCCTTATGGTCTTTTGGCTCCGATTCATCTTTTGGCGTTAGCCTCCATTCGGCCTAGTCATAGTTTAGGTGAGGGGCATTACATTCTTCCTCTTCAAGACTTGTATGTTTCTTTCTCTCAGAAAATATAAGTTCTTAAGTATGTAGTGAATAACCTCTTCTCTGGACCCATAACAGACAAATTACTAAGCATTCCAAAATTCATGTAAGTTCTCTTTAATTTGTTGCATACTAATACTATGGAGGCATTTCAGGTTCTTACAGTTGCTCTGTGTATAATTTAGTGATCCATATCAATTCTCAATTTTAGTGATTAAAATTGCTGACGAAAACCTTATTATAGGCATGTATGTATATATTTATACAGTTCAGAAGCACTTTATATGATTGATTTTTCTTAAGCTTCTTATAATAAGGTTTATGTATGCTATGTTGATCTATTAGGCTCCTATCATGGCTTGGGATTTTGAGTTTTCTTATTGTAGGTTTGTTACATGTGAAAAGTTGGATGGATGATGATTTTTGCAGATGGAGAAAACCATTGGTTACTTGCAAGGGTGTGATCCCAATCCATATATGATAAGGGCTCTACATATCTTTACATATCTTAATTTGGCTCATCCTTGTTTTCTATAGTACACAGTTTAGAAGAACTTTTTAGATGATTGATTTTGTTTAAGTATTTTATAACAAGTTTTATATATGTTATGTTCAGCTATCAAATAACTTTATTAATTGTAGAAAGAAAATCATGTCTCTATTTGAGGTCTATCTAGAGGTGTATTTCTAGTAAATTTTTTTGTAATTTGTTTTTTTTTCTGATGATCATCTGTTTTACAGGTTTATAGTAAATGTTTCTGTAATGAAGGTTTATTTCTTACCTGATTGTTCAGAATAAGGTTCTGTTAATTCAAAAGCCCTCTGTTATATACAAGTTTGTGGTTTTGGAATCCATCTTTCCTTAACCTTACATGGGACTTGGTTTAGATACATTAACTGGCTATAGTCATTTTTGAATTTTTTCAATGTGCCTTTTTAATCAATCGCAATCTTTAAGTTGTTGGTCTCTTCTTGCAGGAAACCTCGATTGTTTATTCAACTCCAACTCTTCTGTTTAATCTGTTAACTAATGCTAGTTGTTTGTGTTGCTTGGCTAAGACAGTGGCAGTGGCACCATTTCTGTTAAACTACAATGGAGCATGTTTTCGACAATGACCTGATAAATTCTAAACTACTATTCTTCTGAGACTAAATTATGCTATGAAGGTCTTGCGTTAGACTAGTATAATTTCAAAAATTTTGGTTTTGTCTTTTTCGTAGACTACACATGCTAGTGGATTATATAGCTAGAAGCAAGCTATTAAGGTAGGGTTATACGAGAGTCTGGAAGTTTTGTAAGCTTGAGAGCATGGGATCCATCCCTTGAGCCCTGAATATCGACAAAAGCTCTATCTTGCATTTTGTATTTCCTTTGACAAAAAGAAAAGTTGACATCGACATTGACTATTTACTCTTCTGGTGTTTACTCAAACAGAATTTACCAACACATTAAAGGACTGGCTTGATGCAGATCATGGGACCAAGGTAATACATGTCTCTTTTCACTCGCAAACTATTTTTATGGTAATAACCAGCAAACAAACTGACAGTATTCTCATTTTTAGGAAGCTAAAGGACCCCTGTAAGACTTAACAACCCGTATCTGCCTACATAATCTATGGTAACTAGAGACTAGTGCTTCTTTACGAGAAGATAAACAATTTCTGAGGTAAGTAATGTAAAATGCAATTATTATAGTCTCTTGTCTTAAGTGTTATTTGAACTCTTGAAGTTAAGTTGTGCAGATGAATTGTGAGTACAAGTTGCGAAAGGAACGAAGAAGAGTGGAAGAACTTGTCTGCAGAACGAAAGGCTCCCTAAGAAAAGGTCATGTCTTATATCAATTGTTTGAAGCAATGAAAAGTTCAAAAACAAAATTTAAACTTGTTTGCGTACTACTGAACAAGGAGAATGTCACTAGGTTAGTATCTTACACTTGATAGATTTGTGTCTTTTGCTGTTCTTACCAATGAGGAATATAATGTGGATTGTGATCATTACTTCAACAACATAATTACTAACATAATTTTCTTTGATTCAGATATGTCTTGGAGTCTGAGCATGTGAAGAAATTCTTTGATTACATACAGCTTCCTATTTTACACCAAAACAGAAAAGCAAACTCATAAAAACTCCTCCACGCTGTGATTCTCATGATCAGTTTGATACAGATATGTCTAAACTTATTTGAAAATTGATGCCTCTAGTACATATCACTCCTTCACATGAAAAGCCTTTCTCTTGGCTGGTGGCATGCGGAAAGAGATTCGCAACCGTTAAGAGACATGAAGCTAACCGTTAAGAGACATGAAGGCATATGGCAGTCCTGCTACACCATCCGTTACCCTTAATCCACTATCACCAACGGTTTAAGGCTTCCCGAGGGTTTCTCCCGCACACTGGAATTTTTCTAAGTGTTTTGGGTCTGAGGAATCCAATGGCAAAACTGGGATATTTATAGGCAAGGTAAGTTGATTACGGAAGCAGAAGGTGGTTGCGTGCATACGGCGTCACAACACATGGCAGATGTCGATCACCGGAGCCGCGCAGACAAGAAGATGCTTTCGGACGCTACCACCTGTTTTAACGGATAAACATCACCCTAATTGGATAAGTTTCAACCCTAAATGGATAAGGACGACTAGAGAGTTGAAAAGCTTCAGCCCTGATTCAATATTGGCCGTCGATTCCCTTAAGCTAGCAAAATCAAGTATTTGCCACCGATCCGCGAGAACACTGATGCGGCAGTTTCCGTCACCGATGTCTCAAGTAGGTCGATGATGCCGCTTTCTGCTTAGGTCTATAATAAGTACTAGGCACATGTTTATAGAGCATATTCGTTTACTCTTAACGATCCGTGTTGGCTGCTGACACTATCCATCAAACACGGTACCTAGTCGTACTAGACTACCCCAAATGAACTTTCCTCGACATTCTTAGATTTTCCCTAGACCAAAACTAAGGTTCCTTAAACTAGACTATTTTTCAGGTCTAACCTAGTGGTTTCTCGACTTATCTTAACAAATTTTGCTGATAGTCGCGCCTTAGCTAAGCTTGCCAGTCTGATGGAGAATCATTTCTTTGCTTGTCGACTCGATCTTAACTTATACTCCTTGCTCATGACATAGCTTACAGAATTGCCGAACTAATCATGCCTTTCCTTGGCTTTATTTTGTGCTCTGATCGGCGGGTTGCATTGCACATCCATCCGTCCGAGTCTTAGGCACAGTCACAGGTATTACACCAAGAGAAACCAATATTGGATTTAACTTCACCAAGGAAAGGAGGTTGCCAAATCTTCCTTTTAAATGATGAGGTTTTCTTCTTAATGTCATCCTGAAAATGCACTAAAGACCATTCTTTAGTATTATCCAAAGCTTTTTGTACTAAGATATTGGGCGGTACATGGAATCCTTCAAAGAGCAAGCAATTTGTGATTTTCCACAAATGCCACAAAATCCAAGCAAATGCTGAATTAAGTTCTTCATATTTTTTTCCATATTCTTAAAGCTAAATAGATGATACTTATTTTCAGATTTTGAGTTACCAAATTCCAAAAAAACCGATGAAATGTTAGAAATTAAAGGGCCCAAACTTGTCTTGCATAAGGACAAAGGAACAAGCTGTGATTAATACATTCAATCTTTGCATCACAAAACAGACATCCATCAAACACTCAAGATTTCTCTTGTTCTTAATCTGTCTGTAACTGCAAGAGCCCCTTTATGAGCTTTCCAAAGAAAGATTCTAATTTTAGGAGCAGTTTCAACCTTCCAATGATATGGTTTAATGTTTTATGTTTTGGTATTTTTTCTAGCATTAAGGCAATTAAGTAATTTCGTTTTTATAGTAAAATACGGTGTTGGTGTTTTCCTTTTTAAAGAGCTTGTACGGATCTTATATAAAGACCTCTTTGGATTAATAAGAATTCAACTTCCAACAATTAACCTAATTCTCTAAGAGATACTTGGGTTAAGAGGAAGCTTTGCTTTAATTAATCTCCTTGTACTTTCAAGCCATAATTACGGGTCCTATAACTAGATCTATGTTGATATGAGCCAACGCCTTAGAAGTGGGAACAACCTGAGCTTGAATAGCTAAAGGATTGGACAATGGTCTAGAATATCGAACAATTCTCTAGCTCTCATCTTGATCTAGGATGTCGTAAATCTCATTCAATTCAGGTCTCTGGTTTCTATTCCTTTG